CGTTAAAGAGGCTAACAGTATTCTTTATAATAAATTTGAGCATTTATAGTCCTTTAAGATTAATAATAGCGACTGAATTCGCTTAGATAGCCTTTAGTTAATATCTAAAGTAAAGATAAATATTAAGCTATATATTAAGATTTTAGGTATTATCATTTATTTAGGTAGACTCTTATACAAAATTAATTACTAAAGTATAAATAAATTACTAGCTTATACTAAAGCTTATGAAAATTAATTCAAAAATTTCGCTTAATTTAGAAATTTACGCTAAGACCTGCTAAGAACCTCTTTTCGGCTATATAATACAGCTCTATATTATAACTTAAAAGATGACTTAATTTTGCTTTTCAACGATTACTATATAATAATAAATTATATAGTAATAGTAATAGTATTATTTGAAAGCTTATTTTGAGTACTCCTTCTAAGCTAGTCTAATACCTCCTTAATAATATTATAAGGTATATTAATAATAGTTTTATTAACCTTAAAAAAGTAATATCAAAAATATACTTTTATGTGTTTCTTAATACTATACTATTAAATAGCAAAATAAAAGAAGCCCTTAAACCACTTATTAAACTTATCTGCAAGCTCTTAATACGCCTTTATCTATGCTTTTAGTAATAAAAATAATAATTTAATAAGATTATAGTTAGAAGAATATAAAGGGAGAAATATTAGTAGAACGCCTCTTTTTATATATATATCTTAAAGCTTTTAAACGCTATTATTAATATTAATATTAAATAGAGTTATTTTGAGCCTTATCTAACTTTAATAAGCGCAGCAGTTATTCATAATTAGTACTGACTATAGCTTAGGATATAGATTTATTTTTGTAAGTAATCTTTGAATAAAGTTGTTAAATCTCTTACTATTAAAGCTGCTATAGTATATCTTATAATTGAGATAGCTATTAATACCTATCACAGGGCAAATACTTTATCTCCTTAAGTACCTATGTGGTATAGTAATTCTACATAGTACGCCACGTTTTGACTAGCCTCTTCGATAGTCTTTTGTACGCTTATTTATAGCCGTTTCGTCAACGAAGATAGCCTCTTCTGCACGTATTTCAGCTATTCGAGCTCGGTAGAAGGCTCGCAGATCTTCATCTCGTTTAGCAGCACGTTTTTTGATCTAGAAAGTGAGTTTGAAGCTGAATACTTAGGGATGGCTATACTGACTGCTTTTCGCGTTATATCATTAGCAATGAGCACTCGACAGACCGTTTGCTTTGATACATCGATACCATACTCCTCATTAAGAAAATGACACATCTCATTAAGATACGTGGTCTTGTGCTCCTCTCTATTATTAAGTACCCAGTCAAGGAGGCCTTCTAATGCTTCTGGTGTGATTTTTCGAGGCCTACCCTGAACCGATACAGGCGCAGGCCGTAGATCTCCAAATACAACGATATTCTGCTTGATTCTGCCTACCGTTGAAGCGTGGCAACGATAGATTTGAGCTATTTCTCGAGGTTCTACATCAGTAGCAAGCAACAGGGCCATATTCTCGACCGCAGCCCGCGAAAAACGTAGATTACTCATCGCGAAACGCAACACCAAGCTCAAAAATCAATATAGGGCCAAATCGGGATAATAGCGAGCTTCATGAGCATTTACAAGCAAAATCTACGCCTATTTACCACGCAGTTGGCGATTCCGCCATTTGACCGCTTTTTTGCCCCGCCAGCACAGCAATTTTTGGGTCGCGCCAAGGAATTGCAACACTTTTGGGACGCACAATACATATCCTAGCTAGCTGAACGAGCGATATATGCGTGCCGAGTCAGCAGCGCCTGGGCGCTACTACAACAGATTCCCAAGTCGCTCATTGACCAAGATAAGCCAGTGAGGCGGTCAGGAAGTATGCTGCCCCAAATATGCAGCCTTCACCGGGCTGACCAGCGTTTTCGCCTCATTTTGGAAGTCCCCCGCTCCTGTTTTCACTAGTTTAGTATGTATTATATTAGATTACCTTAATCATATACAAAGCCTCACGTGCTAAGAAGTTCAGGTGAACATAAAACGAAGATACTGAGTATAGTGTTTGCTATTTGAAATAGGAACAGGATGATTTCGCTCTACCAATGTCTCCAGTTCTGGCGTCATCATGAGACGACAGCTGCGACTGACCTGGAGATGGGGAAAAGTATGTAGTTTAAGTCAATAATTCTATATGCTAATGATATCTAGTCGAAGACTACAAGTCCGGGTACCCTAGGTTCACCGCACTACTTTCGGCCCATCGCTCTTGGCTCATATGCCGTCGCTTCGACAAGCTCCGGGCTCGAGTCATGCTGTCAAAACAGGACAGGTTATCCATCCTGGAACAGCAGTTAGAGCGGATTGACAGGGAGGAGACATCCCTTTTATTTCTTGGCAAGAGCCGATGCGATCGAAACGTGGACCGGATTTCTGCGCTATCTGAGATCGAAGTAGCCCTAGATGACTATGGTATGTAACCAAACGAGCTGAGGGATGTATGTTAATCGCGCTAGATCAATTCATTGAGAGAACTAGTCGGATTTCTTGTATACAGCAAGCTAAAATTAGAGACATAGCAAGCTTAAACAACTGGGTGAAAGCGAAAGGCTGCTTGGCTCGGGAGGAGACTGCCTATCTCGCCCACTATGACGATCTAGTTTCCCTGGCTCCCATAGTGGACAGTGCGACCCTACAGCTCGAAACATGGGTAGAAAATATGCTGTTACGCTACTGGCAAGGCTTTCGAAGTGTAAGCATATGGCGGTGATACGCACCCTTCCCTGCTGGCTGACGAGTGTAGAGCCGCTTTCACGACCTTTCCTCTGACCCAACCGTACATATATATAGAGGTCCCTTGATCCAGCGTACAGCGAAAGCGCTGCTATTACTCTTGGTCACACTTCTCCTAATGATGCCGGCCATTATATGCAATCTAATCAGCACAATCTCAGTCAGGATCGTTATCGTTATGTTTTCTACGATCTTGTACCTCCTAATTCTCACCTGGTTGACAAAGTCGAGAACGATAGAGTTAATGCTTGCAGGGGCTACGTAAGTGCCGCTCGCTCTACAATTGTGCTGGCGACTAATAGAATCAGATATGCTACTGTTCTCATTGTGTTTGTCCCTGGCACTACTAGAATACAAAATTAGGAGGTTTTATAGATAAGCTGGGATATCCGACTGCGTACTATGACGAAGCGATAGAACGATATGTATCTCGTCTCCCATGGTTTATACCACGACCTGCAAAAATTCTTATGTAGAAGTCATGCTACTCCCTTGTGCAGTCAGAGACGGATTGTATGAATGACTAAGGGGTCTTCATTTCAAATTGAAATATAACATAAGTAAGTGCTTAAATAGAGCTTTTTGAATGCTGCTCTTAAGTACTTGTATAGCGCTTGTTGAGTGCCTGCCCGGCATCTGCCTGTTGAGTGCTTGTGCAGCGCTTTTTCGAGTGCTTGTGCAGCACCTTTTTCGAGTGCTTGTGCAGCGCCTTTTTCGAGTGCCTACGCAGCGCCTGTTGAGTACTTGTGCAGCGCTGTTCGAGCGCTCTATTTGAGTCCTTGCGCAGCGCTTGTCAAGTGCTTGTGCAGCGCCTGTTGTGCAGCGAATTTTGCAGTCTTGGCGCGCTACATTACTTAAAGCCTAGCGCGCCAAGCTGGGTACCTACGGTATCAGGCAGAAGTATTCGTAGCTCGGCGCTAATATACTTGCATCAAAACAGGGGCTAAACGTAACGCCTAAGCCTTGAACAGTTAGATTGGAATAATGTGATCAATCGATATTGATAACCGTAAAAGAAGCTTCTAGGTGTTGATGTGGCGCTGTATCTCAACTAGCTGCGACTAAGCGCCGTGCTACAATCTTAACGTAGTACTCCGTACGGAGTAGGCTTATCGCAAGTTTGAACCAATCAATTGAGCTGCGCAAAATGCTTGGCGGTGTAGCTGTAATACTAGTAAAGAAAGAGATACTAGGGGTTGTACGTACCCGGGCCAGGGCTTGGCCGTAATACGTACAGCCTTACGTTAAGGCAAAGGGCTGGCGCGCTTGACGCACCACGCCCATATCCCTCTTGCTCCTCCATAGCCGTTAGATATCATCAACCCACTACCACACATCATACATAGTCTATCTAATAGCCTATCGTGACTCTCCGCTACAGTGTAGCTTCTCATACCCCCCCCAAGTATGGTGCTATCCCGCAGCAGTTACCTGTTACGCGGCTTTCTGCACAACAACGATTATCACAGGCTGCCATACTGTGGAATGTGCCTGCTCTTGCAAAGCAAGACCGGATATATCGACGTAAGTGTCTCAAGATAAAAGCTCAGAAGAGAAAACTGACCGTCTAAGTAATAACTAACTCACGATTCCAGAAATCCATAAACGTAAACCGGGCAACATCTACTTGATAGTCCAGCTATGGAAGATCTAGACATAGCCATCCAGCGATGCCAGATAGCTCTCAATGCAATACCGAACGACCATCCAGACCGGGCAGATCGACTGTGTAGTCTCGCACGCAGATATGGAGACAGATACCTCAAAAGAGGGTTGGCGACAGACATAGAGTTGGCCATCCAGAAATGTCAGGAAGCCCTCGATATAACACCGAAAGATCATCTAAACCGAGCAGATCGACTTGCAAATCTTGCAGTCCTGTATGGAGCTAGATATCAAAGAACGAAGGCGATTACAGATCTCGAGATATTTATTCAATATCTCCAAAGGGCCTTCGATAAAACTCTAAGAGACAATTCAGGCGGTCGAGTTTGTGCTCTTGCAGCTCGGGAAAAAGATAGATATAAAAGATTTCAATTCATAGGAGACATACGGGACTTTCTCCGAGAACTCGTCGATACAGATCTCCAAGAGCTCTTCGATACAACACTAGACGAGGATCTAAACCAAGAAGAACTTCATCATCTCAAAGATGAATACAAAGACAAATTTCAAAGAATGATAGCAATAGCAGACCTAGAGATGGACATTATGCACACGCAGGCATACCTCGACAGAACGCCTAAAGATCATGCAGGTCGAGTAGAAAAACTATATGACCTTGGAATGAGTTATCACAAGAGATATTGCAGAATAGGAGATATAGAAGACCTAGAGACTTCTATCCAGCGATGGCAGGAAGCTTTGAATATATTACCAGATGAACACCCAGACCAGGCAGATCTGCTTTCTATTCTTGGTATCGGATATCAGGATCGATACAAAAGAATGAGTACAAGAGCAGACCTAGATATGGCCATCCAGAAATACAAGGAAGCTCTTGATAACACATCACCAAATCATCCATACCGGGCAAAGCCATTCGACGGTCTTGGAGAAGGATATCACGCTAGATACAACACAACAGGAGCGATGGTAGACTTAGATATAGCCATTCAATACTATCAAAATGCTCTCGATGCAACACCCAAAGGCAATCAAAAGAGTAACGCCCAATCGAATCGCACTTATCGACTTGGAACTGGGTATCTTAGTAAGTACGACAGGTTAAAAGCAGTGTCGGACCTAAGGTTAGCTATCAAGAAATTCAAAGAAGCCCTCAAGACATTACCGCCAGTCTGCAGAACAGGAATGGTACTTGACCTAAAATGGGTTATCCAAGAACACGACCAAGACCAGGCACGCCAACTTCATAGTCTTGGAGCAGCGTACCGCGAAAGATATCAAAGAACAGGAGTACTAACATACATAGAGGTAGCTATCCACTACTGCCAGAAAGCTATCGATATAACGCCAAAAGATCATCCGAGCCAAGAACTTCAATTTCATACTCTTGGAAGGCTATATCACGATAAATACAACAAAACGAAAGTCCTGGCCGACCTAGAGATAGCCATCCAGCAATACCAGAAAGCCTTTGATATAGTACCAGAAAACAGTCCACACTGTGCGAGTCGACACTGTAGTTTTGGCTTTGGATACAGACAAAGATATGAAAAAACAGGAATAGCAGCGGATCTAGAAAAAGCTATCCAACAATTCCAGAAAGGCCTCGACCATTCCTTATCTCCTCCTCTTGATCGGCTAAAATCTTCCAAAGTCTTATTCACATTCTACATCGAGGCCAAAAACTGGAAATCAGCCTACCAAGCTGCGTCTGCTGCAGTATCTTTAATACCTCTACTTACATCACACTCCCTCGAGATTTCCGATAAACAGTATTTACTTACAAATGTTGCTGGCTTGGCTTCCGATGCTGCAGCAATTGCCTTGATGGCTGACAGAACTATATATGAGGCAATTCAGCTTCTTGAACTTGGCCGTGGTATTATTGTGGGTTCCGCAAGCGACTTGCGCGCTGATATATCCCATCTTCATCAGAAAGATCAGCAGTTAGCAGAAAGGTTTATTGAGCTCCGGGATCACCTGAATAACTCGACGCGTCAGACGCATCAAATCAATCATCACCAGCTTCCAACAGGGCTAACAGGCCCAGCCGACCAGCGCTACAGTACAGCCCGAGAACTGGAGCAAACAATCCGCGCAATCCGGGCGCTGCCTGACTTTGATCGATTTCTCCTAACCCCTTCCGAGGACGAGCTGAAGCTTGCTGCAGTCTCGGGGCCGATCGTCTTCATTAATGTGAGCGATTACCGCTGCGATGCGTTGATTATCGAGAAGCATAAGCTCCAGGCCTTGCTATTGCCTCACCTACACAGCAACGACGTTCGGGCTCGAGCAACAACCCTTGGAAATCTAGATGAGCTAGACATGTCGCTGCTGGAATGGCTCTGGAATACAATTGCCGAGCCGGTTCTTAATACTCTGGGATTCATCGAAATATTCGGTGATAGTTGGCCTCGAATTTGGTGGATTCCTACTGGGCCTCTCACAAAGTTTCCTATCCACGCAGCAGGATCCCGAAATTCCTCTGTCCTTGATCGGGTAACCTCATCTTATAGTGCCTCTATCCGAGCACTCGTACAAAGCCGCCAGAGGCGTTCCAAGGCAAAGGTTGTGCCGGAAGAAGGGAAGGCTGTTTTCGTCGGCATGGAAAGGACGCCGGGTTGTAAACGTCTTCCAGGTGTGCCCAAAGAGATCGAAATGTTGAGCAGGCTATGTGGGTCTACTAAGTTTCAAGTAACAAGACCACAGACTCACCGAAGCGATGTCATCTCAGCGTTGCAGGACTGCCGAATCTTCCACTTTGCCGGCCATGGGCTGACGGACCAGGAGAATCCATCCAACAGCTCTCTAATCCTTAGCGACGGACTGCTCGCTGTAGCGAGTCTGTTTGAGCTTAACCTACACAATCATGCACCATTCCTTGCCTACCTCTCGGCCTGTGGGACAGGGGAAATAAAGCAGGACAGTCTTACCGATGAGGCGCTTCACCTGATCAGCGCGTGCCAGTTCGCCGGCTTCCAGCATGTCATCGGCACGCTGTGGAAGGTAAATGACGAGACGTGTATCGAGACGGCGGCCAAGACATATGAGTGGATGATAAGAGAGAACATGAGTGACAATTCTGTGGCGGAAGGTCTTCACAAGGCCAGCCGGCAGCTTCGTGCCCAGTGGTTGTCAGAAAGTGCAGCCCGCACAGCAGCGCGGGTATCAGAGCGCATGGCAGGCACCTACAACGAAGACGGCCCCCCGACAACCGAACAAGCACGGTCCAGTCAAGGGACAGCGAGAGACCCTCGAACGGCCGAGCTATACGAGGATCCACCGCTCTACTGGGTCCCATATGTTCATTTCGGAATTTAGCGGGATCGGCCGACGCGGTTCGACCTCGCGGATGGCTGTAGAAGATAAAGCCCGAGGTCTTGCGAGGTCTTGCGAGGTCTCTGTGCTCGCAATGTCGCGGATCGCATAGGTACGGGAGGTGCACGTCGGGTGGTATCAAGGCAATCATTGTACTGACTAGTAGAAGGTGTCGATGTGTGTGGATGGTTCATGGGTTGTTAATCAAATAGTCGTTCACAATGAGACTTGGTTAGTATGTCCATCATTATAACTTATCACGTGCTCTGATACGGTTGCCTTCATTGTTGTGCACGCCGCTGTGCTCCCCGTCATTGTCACGTCGTCACTGAGCTGCTTTTAGCGTTTTCGCCAAGCTGTCGAGTCTGGGCGGAGAACAGTGTGAAAGTAATGAAAAGGTTGATTTCATGTGCTAAGTAAGAGGTGTTGAGTATTGCAGTGGCATTAGACAGCGATTCGAAGATCGCCAAAAATTCGTCGTGAGAGAGGTATCTTACATGATCCGGGAGGAGGAAATATCCGTGGCCCAATGGGTGGATCCCCCGGGACCCACTTTGCAGGGGGGGTCCCCCTGGCAAAGCCAGCGCGCGCAGCGCGTGGCTGCCAGCCATACGCGTTTCTCACCCAAACGCGTTTTTTGAACAGAAATAAATCTCCTGTTGAATTTCAAGTATAGCACCCCCACAACATGCCTGTTTCGAACGAAGATATCGACGATTTGGTGGATAGGGCCGTACGAGAGATCCGTGCTGCAAGAGAGGAGGGAAAGCGCTCTACTGTTGTAGCAAAAGCGCGTGAACTTGGTATCTATAAAGATTGTATTCATCGACGACTTAGGGGCGATGATTTGGTGGATAGGGCCGTAAGAGAGATCCGTGCTGCAAAAGAGGAGGGAGAGCGCTCTACTGTTGCAGCAAAAGCGCGCGAACTTGGTATCCATAAAGATCGTATCCATCGACGACTCAAGGGTATAGGATCTCGTATAGGTCGAAAGGCAGCTAATCCAAAGCTCTCTGCTATCCAAGAGGCATCTCTTATTCGATATATTCTCTCTTTAGACGAAATTGGCCACTCTATACAATATAATCAAATCAGTAATATAGCAAATGCTATTCTTCTTCAGGATTATACTACCAATACTCCTGCGCCCTCTATAGGCTCAAAATGGGCCTAACGCTTTCTAGATCAATATTCTGAGCTTTATAAGGCTAAACAAAAGCTCTTAGAACTTGAACAAAAGCTGGCTTATAATTCTGATACTATTTTGAACTAGTTTAAGTGTTTTTAAACACTTTAAAAGAAATATTTAATATAGAATAAAGATATCTAGAATTTTAATAAAACAAGCTTTTAGATAAATATTAATAAGAGTTAATAAATAGTTACTACTTTATAAAGAAAAAGCATTATTTATTTTTTAATAATATGTATAACTTTATAATAGTTATAAAGACTATTAGTACTAGTAGAGCAATTATTAATAAGATATTAATTTTATTAAAGAAGATTTATTTAAAGCGTTTTTATTATAAGTTTTAAAAAGAGACTTTAATTAGCTTATTAGCCCTTAATAAGCTTCCACTAAGCAGCTATCAGTCATTCAGACAGCTGGGATATGGATTTCTACCTTCTCGCAGTATCTAGTATGAGTAGTCGCTACAGCAATGAAACCAAACGAAATCCAGATGGCAGTGTGGGTGAACGCGTGCGCTGCGTACGCGAGTCGCCTGCGCACATTAAACCAGGGGAATTGGCTTACGAAAACCATCTGACTCTTAAGTATCTGACTCGTACTCAGACCCGAAACTGACTCTATCATCAGTGGATGTGATATCATTCTATTTGAGAGACAGGACACCCCTGTGCTTGTCCCCTCTTAAGATTATGCATCACGTATGTAGATATAGTAATTTGCTAGTAAGAAGAGAGAAATTCTTTAATATAGACAAATAAATAAGCGTTTATTAACTTTTGTTAAAGCTTATAATCTTTAGTATAAATAAACTTATTAAGACTTATAAGCCTTATTAAGGCTAGAGCTATAAACTACTCTTAAGAATTATAAATAAATTATCTTATATAAATAATTATATAGAATTATAAATAATTAAGAATACTAGTTTACTTAAAATAAGTCTATATAAACTTATTAAAATATAATTATAAGTATATTATATAAAGACATTTATTAAGATGATAAAGATATAAGCTTAGTTAATAAGTAAGGAATTAATATATAACTAATATATAAGTATTAAATAAATTACTTATAAGACATAATTAGTTTATACAAAAGAGACTTCTATAAATAATATAAAATAAAGAGCCCTCTAGGCTTAACGTAAGACATAATATATAATAATAGTTACTAAAGAGACTATCTATATAGCCTAAGAGGATAATATATATATATTAGTATATAAAAAGTCTAGACTAGTTATCTTACTTATATTAAGAGCCTATAAGGAGTATATATTTTATATATAAGTTAAAGCGATATTATTCTAGCTAAATACTAGTGCTATATATTTAAGGAGTAAACTATAATTAGAGCGTAAGTAAAGGCTTTATCTACTTAAACCCTGAAGCATCTTGCCTTAAATAATAGATGCAGGAAAGTATGATAAAGACTTAGTAAAGAGATATAAACTCTGTATTATATTATTTTATAAAGAAAAGCTACCTTAATTAACATAGAATAATATAATAAAATTATAGGCTTAAACGCTTTCCTTATAGATCACTTTGTACTAGACAAGCTGGCTTTATGCACCTACAGATGCATAACAAACTACGAAACATGTCCTCTTTTTTTTATTCTGAGCTTGCTAATCACTATGGCTAGCTATTCAGAGACGCAGAGACTAACGACTATTCGAAAATAGTCGCAATGACAAGAGGCGCTAAGGCAGCAGCAAGATGGCTACAACGCACACAGGACTCCTCTTATAATTCAACCTTAGCCTCAACTAACACTAACAGCCAGGGTCACACAGCTAACGTCCTAGAAAGGATAGAAAGGTAGGATGTCTCTTCGTAACCTTGTGTAACAGGACACGACTACCTAGTACAACGTGAATAACAGAAACGAATGACTTATAGGTTTTCTTTCCTAAAGAGTTTCTCTTATAGATTATTATTAGTACCTCCCCTTATAAGCTTAATAGCTTAATAAGTATAAGAATAATAATAATAATAATTAGCTTATTAGTTACTAAATATTTAAATAATAAGCTTATATATAAATATATTTATTACTTTAAATACTAAAGTTAATAAATATATATAAAAGCTTATTATATTCTTTTCTATAATAAATATATAAGTTATTTTAAATAAGAGATCCTTAAATTTTATAAGTTTAATCTTATTTATATTTTTGTGCTTTTTTTATATATTTCTTATATTTTCTAATTACTTAATGTTAAAGTTCTTACTCTGTTATATTATATATACTCTTACCTAGATTCTTTAGTAGCTACCTAAATAGGATTTCTTATGCTATAGCACAGGAAATTAGGGTACATAACACGCTAAAGTAGCGCTAAGCCGCTTTAGGATTTGGCTATACATGTACAGCCAAATCCTCTTAGTAGTTGCGTGTTAGCTATACGGCTATACTAGCGTTTAAGCTGTGTTGCTCAACACTCCTACTCAGACGTCTGGCTAGTAGACTACAAGTTACAGGTGACAGCAGCGCCAGGAGAATAAAAAGGAAACGCTATTACTGAATATTCCTGCCCTTTATTGTTTATCTAATCAGAAGAGATATTATAGTAATAACACAGACTAGCTATAAAGAAAGAAAAGTATAGTAACACTATAATATATTAATTAAGAAGACTAATAAATAAAAATAAGAGAGAGGACCTGTTATATAATAGGACTAAGATATATAAAGTTATAATAAAAGGTA